AATTTTTTTTTTGAACATTTTTACAAGGAGCAGGTTTCGAACCCGCCCGGAGAGGAGGGAATGCACCGGCTGACTTAATGCCAGTGGACCTCAAGGACCGGGTGCTAAATATAAATCAATTATTTTCTTATAAAATAAGAATACTTATATATCTCTATCTATGATAAAAATTATCACCGTAAAAAAAAAAAAAAAATTGTCGTCACAATGTCACTTCCATCTATCATTATTTCTATCTTATTTTATTATAATCTCCTTTTGGCAACTAATAGTTTGCAATCTCCCCCACTTTGTTTATGAATTTTATTTTATCACCGTAAAAAAAAAAAAAAAATTGTCGTCACAATGTCACTTCCATCTATCATTATTTCTATCTTATTTTATTGTTATATCATACCAAATCAAAATAATTGAACCCCTTTTTGTAGGAAACGCAATGATTTTTTTGTTTTTTTTATTGCCATGAACACAATAATTCATTGGTACTGTATATATATTCCCGGATCACTCGGATCAAATCACAATAATCCGACTTTCCTTAAACCCTCTTTTCTTTCCTTTTTCTTTCTTTTTTTATTTTTTTATTTTTTACAGTACCTGAAATGCTCCTTTTTATCCATAAGCAAACCATTAAAAAAATTTGTATGGAAAAGAGCCAATTGGCAAGTAATATCTCCAATTATGAAGCCCAAGTGGGGCCTCTTCGGAAATGGAGAGAATCTAAATATAAAAATTTGGTGTTCACTTTTTCTTATCTCTCTTATCACTCACTTTTATTTTTTTGTTCCCTTCTCTCAAACCTCCATTTTATCTCTCTCATCACTTACTATTTTGCCCATTTCTCTCACTTCAAATTTCACATTGTAATTACCATATGACCTCGAAAGTGGCTTTAATGGTGTACAAATATGTGCATTGTGTAATAATGCAGTCTACTATTAATATTATTGGTTCAGTCTATTATGTCTTATAATTTTAAAACACGTCAATAAAAATTAATAAATATTAATTTATATACTTTACATTTCTTTCATATTTTGTCCATATGAGATTTGTCTAATGGTGTTATAAAGGCTTGCTTTACCTCTGTTTAACAAATCACATAAAATATTTTTGATATCATATGTAATAATTTATCTCACTATTAATATTGTTCATTTTGATCTATTACATCTCCCGATTTTAAAATACATTAATAAAAGTGAATGGGGTTGATCTATAAGATACCGACCCCATACTCTAGATGTAAAGTTGCAGCATCATGTAGGAACAAATAAATTCACCACCAAACAATGCACACCTCTCCATATACTTCTAGATTTATTATGCTCATCATATATGTAAGATGTATTTACCTTGTTTCAAGTTTGGAGTATTTTTTTGTACTTTAAGATAATAATTTTGGGATTTCTTTTCATCAAAATTATGTTCATACTTTTAGGTTGTGATTGTTATCGGGAAGGTTTTCCTAACTTTTTCTAGAATGTAAAATAATTATTTAAACATTAAATCTTTCTTGCAACACGATACTTCATTATCGTTGAATCAAACCCTTGTTTGTCTCAATAGTTTTACTTATTAGATTCAATAATCAAGTGTTGAGGGTGATGATATATATATGAGTAGGGATAAAGATATATATATATATATATATATATATTGGCTTAAGTTCAAAAAATTCTTATACCAAATTTTAGCTGTACATTTTAGAATTTAAAGGGTGAAAAAAAACATTCAAATAAGAATATAAACCTTTTTTTTTAATTATTTAAAGATACAAACTTTTCAAAATTTTAAATTAGGTAGTAAACTTTCATATTTTTATATTTAAGGATATGAAGTTTGCCATATTTTTTTTCTATTTAAGAATTCAATCCTTGTCCTATTTCTATTAAGATTATTTTTTTCCATGTCATAATCACCATCCAATAAATCTTCAAATTAAAAAAAAAAAAACACAGTTTGTATCTTTGTTTAGAAAAACAAAAAAAAAAGTTTATTACAAAAAAAAAAGTTTATTGTATGATTTAAAAACCTAAAAAATTAGTATTCTTGCTTGCACATTTTCTATTTAAGGGGCTCTTTTGAAAATTCAAGTGTGATATTAATTATTGATTTTTTTTAATCTTAGATTGTACAATAGGAATTAACCTTTTTTTATTTGTTAATTAACCCCACTCGCATGTTATACAATTAAAACTAAAGACTTTTTATTTAAAGATTAATTACTTAAGTCGTTGGTATTAATAGCTGAAATTAATAATTAATAATTTAAGTCCACATGATTTACGTGTTACAAGTAATTGGGATTGCACTGGAATGATTAATTAAATGCACAACCCTTTTATATATACAACTCCCTTGTACATGCCCTGGCACACAAGCAAGTAGTGCCTCCAACATGGAAGAAGAAGCCATCTCACCTGCAACCATGGAAAGAATGCGAAAGACGATCTCAAGCCTTCCCAACGACAATGGTTGGAGACTTCCATTTCCTTTCTACTTCTACGAAGGCTTTTCGATCTCCACCTTGTTCCTAGAAGGAATCATTCTGGCTCAAGAACTCTTCCAGGCTGAACCAAGTGATATCTTCATTTGCAGCCCTCCCAAGAGTGGCACCACTTGGATTAAGGCCCTAACCTTTGCCATTGTGACTCGAACCCATTTCCAAAATTCTACGAATCCTTTGCTCTCCAAAACGCCCCATGATATTCTACCTTTCTATGAGACAATTTTTTCCAAGCGCTGGCCACATATACGTCAGCCAGGGATACCCCTCATCGCTACCCACACTCCTTATACATTGCTACCAAAATCTGTACAAGATTCTGATTGCAAAATTGTTTATGTTTGCAGAGATCCAAAGGATGTTTTTGTTTCTCTCTTTCACTTCTTTGCCAAAGTGAGATTCAAGGAACATGAACCTATATCCCTTGAGGAGGCATTCGAGATGTTTTGTGAAGGGAAGTCGTCGTTTGGACCATATTGGAACCATGTTTTAGGATATTGGAAGGCAAGTTTGGAACGACCAAAGAAGGTATTGTTCCTCAAATATGAAGACATGATGACAGATACTGCTCTTTATGTGAAAAAGATAGCAGAGTTTGTCGGATATCCTTTTTCTCTTGAGGAAGAAGAAGAAGGGATGGTGGAGAAAATAGTAGAGATGTGTAGTTTCGAGTTTCTAAGCAATTTGGAAGTGAACAGAGAAGGAGCGGTAGAGAGCTTATCAAAATTATCTCAAAACAATCTCTACTTTCGGAAAGGCAAAGTTGGGGATTGGAAGAATTATCTTACACTTGAGATGGCAGATCGTCTCAATAAGATAACGGAGCAAAAACTAAGTGGCTCTGGCTTGACCTTGAACGCCTCCTGATCTTCATGCTTGCATGGATCAT